CTTTTTGCTTTTTGTTAGGATTTAGAAAAAAATTTAGATTTTCTAGATTTTTAGTTCAGTTTTTTATTACTCAGCCAGGTACTGTCAATCATAAAATCGCGAAAGAGTTAAAAATGTTTTAGTTTTTTACTTTAGATTTCAAGAAATTGGATCGCTTTTTATTCCCTTGCAGGTAAGTTAAATTATTTTTAGATTTATGGCCTTCTTAGTTAAAGCAGACAAGGACTTTTTTTAGTTAATTAGTGTAAAAAACGCTCTAATTGTTGTTTAAATTGAAACAAACATTTCTAGGAAAATCTAAGAAACTATTTAAAATTCACGCTAAAGTGACATTAAAACAATATGTTTGGTTAGACTTTTGACTTTTAGGGGTTTGAAAAGTCAAATTTAACCTTTAGTTGAAATAAAGTAGCGCTCGGCAGAATTCTGGGTAAAATGCTGAAAAAGAGTAAAACAAATCATATGACATTTTAACCAAATTTTTGGTAGAAAAGTCAATATTTTTGACTTCTAATGAATTTTTTTCATAAGATTACAAGGTCAGTTGGGAATTTTACTTATAAAAACAATATTAAATATGTATAGCATGTTTGTCATTAATCGTGGAACTAGTCTATGGACCAATATGAGAGAAGTGAGAAACTATAGTTGTGTATGGGCGACCAGTAATTTATATGATGAAAAACTAATTTTCAGAAAAATGCTTGAATTGGGGATTTATGTTTAGATAAAATTCATTTTTGATTAATTTTGCCACGACACTAGTGTTTATAAGTTAATTGTGGAATTTTAGTCATTTCTTAAAGGGAGTCTACTCTAGTCTAATATAGTCTAGTCTATAGTCTAGTCTATAGTCTAGTCTATAGTCTAGTCTATAGTCTAGTCTATAGTCTAGTCTATAGTCTAGTCTATAGTCTAGTCTATAGTCTATAGTCTAGTCTATAGTCTATAGTCTAGTCTATAGTCTATAGTCTAGTCTATAGTCTAGTCTATAGTCTAGTCTATAGTCTAGTCTATAGTCTAGTCTATAGTCTAGTCTATAGTCTAGTCTATAGTCTAGTCTATAGTCTAGTCTATAGTCTAGTCTATAGTCTAGTCTAGTATAGTCTAGTCTATAGTCTAGTCTATAGTCTAGTCTATAGTCTAGTCTATAGTCTAGTCTATAGTCTAGTCTATAGTCTAGTCTATAGTCTAGTCTATAGTCTAGTCTATAGTCTAGTCTATAGTCTAGTCTATAGTCTAGTCTATAGTCTAGTCTATAGTCTAGTCTATAGTCTAGTCTATAGTCTAGTCTATAGTCTAGTCTATAGTCTAGTCTATAGTCTAGTCTATAGTCTAGTCTATAGTCTAGTCTATAGTCTAGTCTATAGTCTAGTCTATAGTCTAGTCTATAGTCTAGTCTATAGTCTAGTCTATAGTCTAGTCTATAGTCTAGTCTATAGTCTAGTCTAAGTCTAGTCTATAGTCTAGTCTATAGTCTAGTCTATAGTCTAGTCTATAGTCTAGTCTATAGTCTAGTCTAGTCTAGTCTATAGTCTAGTCTATAGTCTAGTCTATAGTCTAGTCTATAGTCTAGTCTATAGTCTAGTCTAGTCTAGTATAGTCTAGTCTATAGTCTAGTCTATAGTCTAGTCTATAGTCTAGTCTATAGTCTAGTCTATAGTCTAGTCTATAGTCTAGTCTATAGTCTAGTCTATAGTCTAGTCTATAGTCTAGTCTATAGTCTAGTCTATAGTCTAGTCTATAGTCTAGTCTATAGTCTAGTCTATAGTCTAGTCTATATTCTAGTCTATAGTCTAGTCTATAGTCTAGTCTATAGTCTAGTCTATAGACCTTAATTCCACAATTAACTTATAAACACTATAGTCTAGTATATAGTCTAGTCTATGGTCTAGTCTGTAGTCTAGTCTATAGTCTAGTCTATAGTCTAGTCTATTGTCTAGTCTATAGTCTAGTCTATAGTCTAGTCTATAGTCTAGTCTATAGTTAGTCTGTAGTCTAGTCTATAGTCTAGTCTATAGTCTAGTCTATAGTCTAGTCTATAGTCTAGTCTATAGTCTAGTCTATAGTCTAGTCTCTAGTCTAGTCTATAGTCTAGTCTATAGTCTAGTCTATAGTCTAGTCTATAGTCTAGTCTATAGTCTAGTCTAGTCTAGTCTATAGTCTAGTCTAGTCTAGTCTATAGTCTAGTCTATAGTCTAGTCTGTAGTCTAGTCTATAGTCTAGTCTATAGTCTAGCCTATATTCTAGTATATAGTCTAGTCTATAGTCTAGTTTATAGTCTGGTTATAGTCTAGTTTATAGTCTGGTTGTAGTCTAGTGTATAGATTAGTCAAAAAATTATAAAATTTAACATAAGCTTTTTTTCGAGCTTAAAAAAGTTTACCAAGTTCTTACAAACTCGCTAACAGATAAAAAGGTTAGCAACACTTTGTAAGAGAGCAAAATATCTACACGATTCGCCACACACTCACTCAAACTCAACATTATTACAAAGCGAAAACAAAACATTCGTTTATAAAAAAATTTTAATTTTTTAAAAAATAAAACAAAACTATTTTGTTTACAAATGCTTAAGATCAGTGCTTATTTTGAAATTAAGTTGTGCTGATAACTGTAGTGGCGTTTTTAGCAACAAACTTAAAATTGAAAAAAAAAACAAACAATAAAACGAAAATTTAAAAAAACAAAACAAATTTTAATTTAGAATGAAAATGTTAAAAAAAAATAAACAACTGCATATTTTATTTACAATCAATTATAAAAAATGCAAAATAATTAACAAAACCGGCACAATACGTCTATTGATCGAAGGTGAAGAGAGCGAACAGTGCAGTCGTAAACGTGCAAATACTCGTGATTTAAATGTGGATTATTTAAGAAAAAAACATCTGCTGTTAGAATGTTTCTGAAAGTATTTATACCTATATGTTGATTAATGGGTACTTAAAGTTTAAAGAGCTTTGATAAAGTTTCACTCTCTTAACTTATCAACGCTCTTTAAACTTAAAAATACGTCAAACGAACGATGGGTGTAGTTTAAGCGAAATTGAGGCGTTAAGCGTATTTTCTGTGAATTTTCAGAATAAAATTGACGATGAAATACATGCTCTAAATTAACTTTCTAGAGATCTCTAGTCGGTCGATTACTTGTCTGAAAAATATGAAACTGCGCTTAGGCTTGATGTTCGATTTTTAGGAGAGATTCTTATTTTATGAATAGAACTAGTGCTTGTATCAAACAAAATCGATAGGATGATTCGTTAGCGAAGCTTTAAATCCAAAATCATCATATTCCAGACAAAACAAGGATATTTTCGTAAAAGAACCAGAACTCCAGATATCACTTATATTTTGACGATTTCAATAGACACAAAGGCTTTTCAAAATCATCAGACGGAAAGACTCAAATGTGGATCCATTTATTAGAATGAAAATAACTTGTGCTTGCATCATATAAGCTTTAGTTACGAAGTTTTATTCGGTGTAGCATTAGTCGCCCGTCGCTTTAATTCTGTTTAAAGGTACGTTACGTTTATTTTATACTTACTATTATAAACATAAAGAGAATATTGATTTCATCATTCCGTTTGCAACACAGCGAAATAAAGAGACCGTTAAATGTATTATTATACTCGATCGTTATAAAGCCCAAACCCGGTATTCATAATAATGTTAGTTGTTTCTTTAAGCTTTATTACGCACATTTTTCATACAAAATTTTTTCAATTAACCATCAATAACTTTATTAAGCATTTACGAATCGGAGGTTAGGACTCTAGATATGATCGTCTGTTTGAGCAATAAAAATTGTTTGCAGACCTACACAAAGGTCTGCCTAACCTAAAAAGCTGTAATTTTCCAGTAGCGCTGGAAAAATTATTATTATGACAAAACCAAACCCCTGTTATCATTATTGGAGTACATGATCCGTTCAGTTGTCATGATCCACAACATAGACCTATGTAATGCAGGCTATAAACATCATCTAAGCCTGCATTACATAGGTTGATGTTGCGGATCATGTAATCCCATAATTTTAGCAAGGGAGTAGTTTTGGGATTACTCGAATGTAATGCTTTACGTGGTCCTCACCTATCACAATGTTAAATAGAATATGTTTTTTATATAATTGGATTAGTTTAGAACCAGTTCATTGAAGGATAGTCCCAATTTTTGCAGGGCAATGTCAGATTGTGTTAAAAAACCGTTAAGTTATCCTATAACGATTTCTGGCTCGACTCACCCATAGGATATCATATGTCCATGTTTAACATAGAATCGATCCTGGACCCGTTAAGTTATCCTATAATGATTCCTAGCTCGACTCACCCATAGGACATCGCATGTCCGTGTTTAACATGGAATCGAACCAACCTGAGGCATAAATAAATGATTCAATCTTGTTTCTAATTATTTCTGTTAATGAAATATCGGACAACTAAAGAACTAAGTCCTGATATCTGACAAAGAAAACGGTCGAAAGTTTCCTCTTCGTCTTTGTTGTCTCTCCAGCATTAGTCAAGTTTAAGCATTTTACCATTTAACATGTTTTAGGTGTGGGGTGTATAAAATTCGTCATAGCCGAATGCTTTTACTTTTTATAGGTATTATTAAGTTAGTAATTGTATGTCGTCATCGCACTATCTCAGAACAGAATCATACTTTGCTTAGGTTTTACATATTTTATTGTTTTGTTAAATAAACACCAAAGAGCATAACATTATTTTTGCTCTCCCTCTCCCAAATTCTTTATTTAATTTTTTATTTTGTGTCTGATGACGAGAATTAAAATTTGTACTTGCAATTAATTGATAAAGCCAACGAACGAAAGTATGAATATTTTCTATTTACAAAAGATTTTGTTGTTGTCTGCTCTCGTTGTTGTATTTATTCGGTTTTTGCGGTTATTGTGGTCGCGTTTTAGTTTTTGTAGTCTTTTGTATACGATTTTAGTTGTTGTTTTTTTTTTCTATTTAGTTTACTGCTGATTCTGCCCACTCATTAACCAGACGTGGTGTACGTACAAACGTTTTCATAGTACAACAACGTAAATTTTAACAAAAATAATTACGTCTGCTCGCTCTGTAGTGCAGAGTCTACTTTATAAAATTACTCTGTAGAGTCTAGACATTTGTTTAAAAACAAAATATCAGAAGAGAATTGGCAGTCTGCGCGTTCGTGGGTTCTAAAATCGTGTAGTGTCTGTGTTGTTTTCATTCCATAAGCTTTTTTATTTTTATTTTATTATTATTATTTTCTCGTTGTCAGTAAATCTTTTACTTTCGTTTTATTTTAATAATAAATAAAATATTCTAAAAATTATAAATAAAATATTCTAAAATTTAATTTTCTTTTATTTATTACTTTAGTTTTCTTTTAATTACTACCAGAAAAATATTAAAAAAAAAAATCAAAATATTTTTATTGTTGTTGGTGATTCATTGTTTGTGTCAGTGAGTGAGTGTGTGACCGTGTTGACATGGTGGATGCCACTTCAATTTTATTATTTGTTGTAACCATTTTGACGGGAGTATTCGTTTGGTCGCGTCGTACTTATGTGTATTGGCAACGCAGACGTGTCAAATTTGTGCAACCGACTCATTTGCTGGGCAACCTTAAGGATGTCTTAAAAATGCAAAACTCCTTTGCCTTACAGCTGCGCGATTACTATTTCAATGAACGTTTTACGCGCGAACCTTTGGTGGGCATTTATTTGTTCCATCAGCCGGCATTATTGTTGCGCGATCTACAATTGGTGCGTCAAGTTTTGATAGAAGATTTTGTGAATTTTTCACATCGTTTTTCGAAATGTGACGGACATCAAGATAAAATGGGTGCAATGAATTTATTCTTTGCTCGCAATCCAGAGTGGCGTGATATACGTACAAAATTAGCACCGGTATTTACTACGGCCAAAATGAAACAAATGTTTTCATTAATGGAAGAGGTACGTTTATGAGTGTGGCAGCAACAACAACAAATATCAAATAGTTTGTATAGTATAAACATTAAGTTATAGAATAATCTGGCATCATTTACATGCTTATAGGTATTTTGTTTTTATGCTTTCTTTCTCCCTATGCTTCATGATGATCGCAAGCTCTCTTGTGTTGTGTATTTGTTGTTCTTATTTTATGTTGTTTTCAAAGGTTGCCAGAGGGTGTATATGCATATTTAAAAAAATCGCTGTAGTAGAATGTAGAATGATTAATAAGTAATACTTTCTTTCTTCCAATTTTCTGAATACGGGCATGGCCACCCAATTATGTTTATATTTAAAATGTGATTTTGTTATAATATGGAATTTATGTTGAATTTTTCATTACTTCTGATATATGTATTAATATGGGTCGATAATAAAAACATAGTTTAGAGATTTCTGCTTGTATAGCAGTTATTTGTGCCCAATTATTGACATTTTAATGGAATTATGGACATTTAAGTAATTTTCTGAGGGGATTTTCTATGGAATTTGGGATCCGCTCATCACAAAACTTGACAGCATTATTTATATAGAACTTAATTGTGCCGATTTTTGCGTAGATACACAGAGGGAAAAATAATTAAACACGCTTGGTACCAAATTGACACCAAACTGTTTATAATTTTTCAATAACATTCGTTGTCAAAGTATATACATACGTACGACAACTCTATGTAATGTTGACAACATTGATCCTTGGGTCAAATGAATGATATGAGCCAATTCTATGGAAACTTTTTTATAAAAAGCTTACTATCGAAACACTTTCTATGGAAAAGCTTTATATTGAAACATTTTCTACAGAAAAGCTTTCTATCAATTTTTTTTTCTATATAAAGCTTTCTATGAGAAGCTTTTTCTATATAAAAGCTTTCTATGGTAACCTTTTCTTTCGCTAGAAAGAATTAAAATCTGTGATCACTATATTTCCCATCAAAAGTCGATTTTTGAGTGAAAACATAAAAGTCCATATTTAGGCTAAACTCGAACTGAATCGATTGATGTACTTTAGGTGGGTACAGTACCAATATTGCAATGCATTAGAAATATCAGCATAGAAAAAACATTTTCGTTCATATCATCTAAACATTCATTGCAAATATTATAGGAATACATGATCCATTTAAGTAATCCAAAAACTACTCCTCTGTATACATTATTGGAGTACATGATCTGTTTAGTAGTCCTATGTAATGCAGTCAAGGATACGTAACCATGTTGCGGATCATGTAATCCCATAATTTAAGCAAGGGAGTAGTTTTGGGATTACTCCGATGTAATGCATGGATGGATTACGTGGTCCTAACCTAGGACATCACTATGTTAAATGGATTATGTTTTTTCTATATACTAGGATTAGTTTTGGACCAGTCCTAGTCCTTTGAGGAGTATTCTTGACATGTGTGGGGAGTAGTCTCAACCTTTGAAGGTTAAAGTACAAGCACTTTGTTCAAGTACTTGAACAATTTCCTAATCGTAGTTGTATTTTGGTCCTGGGTGATTTTTAGATAGGTAACTTTGGATTAAAATGTTTAAAACACCAAGAAATCTAAGGAATATTAAACATTATCCATATAACACCCTTTTGGATGGAAATTGGTCAGAAAACTTGTTTCATTTTCAAAATTTTTAAATTTGTTCTTGTTTCTTCATTTACTTTCAGATTGGCTACGATTTAGAAACGTATTTAGCTAAACTAACCAAAGATATGAAACACACTGGCGAAGGGCCCATAGTCCAAATCAAAGATATTTGTGATCTTTACAATACCGACATGATTGCCAGCATAGCATTTGGTCTACGAACACATTCACTGCGCAATACGTATCGTGCTCAACTTTGTCATCATAGTCATGAAATGTTCTATATATCTTTTCGGCGTGCCATAGATCTATGTCTGATCTTTATAATACCAAAGTTGGTGAAGTTTTTGCGTCCCAAACTATTTACCGCCGAGCATACGGACTTTTTGCGTAGTCTGGTAGTTAGTATGCTGGAAGATCGTCGTACAAACGGTGGTCTGCGTAATGATCTCATTGAAATGTTATTGACATTCAAAATGGAAGCGGAACTTAATAAGGATAAATCCCATTTTGCCCATCAACAGGAGTATATAGTCGCTCAGGCAGCCACTTTCCAGTTGGCCGGCATACAAACGTGTGCCTCGACTTTGGCGTTTGCCCTATACGAGCTGGCTCGGCAGCCCAAGCTACAGGAACGTTTGCATTTAGAGATAAGAAAGACTATAGGTGATGAGGATCCGCCGATATCGTTGAATTTCGAGAAAGTGGAAAAGATGTCGTACTTGAGTATGGTGGTGGAGGAGACGTTGCGTAAATATCCAGTAGTGCCATTTTTGGAGAGAGAGTGTACACCACTGAATAAGAGGCGTTTTGTATCATTCCGTCCACATGCCGAGTGTATGGCCAGAAAGGGAATGCCCGTGTATATATCTAATTTAGCTTTACATTATGATTCTCAGGTGGGTATTTTGTTTTTAATTGTCTATATCATTTTCATAAATATTCCGCCTTTCAAAAACTAGATTTTTAATTAGAGTTCTCTGTTTTTTGTCTTCTTAGTATTGGCCCAATCCCGAACACTTTGATCCGGAACGTTTTTCACCGGAACAGAAACCTTCTCATACACCCCTATCATATCTGCCCTTTGGTGCTGGGCCCCATCATTGCATTGCCCAGGTATTGGCACAGCTGCAATTGAAATTGGGACTGATACATTTTCTGAATCGCCATCGTGTAGAATGTTGTGATAAGACTGTCGATTGCATCAAGTTTGATAAACGGTATGCTTTACTCACCCATGAGGGTGGGATTTACTTAAAACTTGTTGAAATTTAGTTTGTAAAAGAGTTTTTTTTTTTTTTTTTTTGCTTTTTTCTATGAGTTTTCTTTAATTTCTTTTTGTTTAAGTCTTCTAATGTAAATTGTATGTGTATATAAATTAATTCTATTCATTTTTTATACATTGTATATATTTTAAGCAACAAAACAAATACAAAAATATTTTTTATATCAACTGAATAAGAAAAAGTTTTTATTATTTATTTGCTGTGAATGACTCGTTCGAAATTAAATAATACACGTCATTGGGACAACTAAAACACCTTGTATTATCGTATAAATTTTGTATATCGAAAAAAATCGACAAATAATGAAAGCTTCTAATTGAATGATAAGTTATCAGTTTGGCATATTGAACTTGTGGCATGATCGTCGGAATGGCAAATAAATATATAGCAAAATACAGCAACAACAATGAACACATTCAAGAGTATTTTTAGTATTTTGTGTTTATTGTTTATTTTGCACACTAGTGATTATAAGAGGGATTTCCGAAGGGACAAAGTTTTAAACTTAAATATTTTTTTTTTGCTTTACCTTGCGAGAGAAAGTCGATATGATCTCTTATCAGTATTTTTCTCTAAGATCATAAAATACCTAATCTCGTAATCGTCGGTTCCTGATTGTATCTCACTTTGATATTATTCAAAAATGATTTATTTGCATTGCAAAGTACTTTTCTAGAAAAGTACCCAGAGTATTTTATTGTATACTTTTCCCTCTATCATTATGAATTATTCAAATATACAATGTTGTTTTATAAATTATGTTCAAAATGTATATAAATATTAAATGTATTTCATTCATACATGTGTATATTTAATATAAACACACAATTCCAATTTAACCCCTTATTACCCCCTCGAAGGTCGTATTACGCAAAAATACCTTTAATACATACATAAGTAAGAAAAATTCCAAACCGTTTTATGCATTCTGAATAAATTCAGCCAATTAGAATTAATCATAGAAAGTCTTTACGTTCAATCAAAACGTTTTGAAATCATTTGATTATATTGTGTTTATGCTGCATATAATTTTTATTGACCGTGGGACTAATAATCTTAAAAATGGTTTCATGGGCTTCAATTAAATTTTTTGCTAAATAATAAATTTTTAATAAAACTATAAGTAGAACTATAAGTAGAACTAGAACTGAACTAGAACTGAACTAGAACTGAACTAGAACTGAACTAGAACTGAACTAGAACTGAACTAGAACTGAACTAGAACCGAACTAGAACTGAACTAGAACTGAACTAGAACTGAACTAGCACTGAACTAGAACTGAACTAGAACTGAACTAGAACTGAACTAGAACTGAACTAGAACTGAACTAGAACTGAACTAGAACAGAACTAGAACTGAACTAGAACTATAACTGAACTATAACTGAACTACAACTATAACTGAACTAGGACTGAACTTGAACTAGAACTGAACTGAGCTAGAACTGAACTAGAACTGAACTAAAACTGAACTAAAACTGAACTAAAACTTAACTAGAACAGAACTGAACTAGAACTAAACTAGAACTGAACTAGAACTGAACTAGAACTGAACTAGAACTGAACTAGAACTGAACTAGAACTGAATTAGAACTGAACTAGAACTGAACTAGAACTGAACTAGAACTGAACTAGAACTGAACTAGAACTGAACTAGAACTGAACTAGAACTGAACTAGAACTGAACTGAATTTTCATTAAAAATTTAAATTTTCATTAAAAATTAAAATTTTTATTAAAAATTAAAATTTTCATTAAAAATTAAAATTTTCATTAAAAATTAAAATTTTCTCTAAAAATTAAAATTTTCACCAAAAATTAAAATTTTTACCAAAAATTAACATTTTCACTCTAGATTCAAATTTTCACTCCAAATTCGATGATTCACTAAAAGTTCGGTTTTTCGCTTTTTTTTTAAATATATTAGATACATGTATGGAAGTTTCTTATATTTTAATAAAAAAAATTTCTTTATGTGTGAAATTTATCGAATAAAAATCCATCACCAAAAATATCTGGTATCAAAAGTACTTTTCTAGGTACTTTATCTAATTTCGCCACTTATTGCCACTCTTCCATCATATTCAACCGTATCAAGCGAGCAAAAGACCAACAACGTATTTATTTACATATTTAATAATCTTGTTGTTGTATACATATTATAAAAATTTTGTTGTTATAGAACGTGTGAGAATATTAAGTTTTTTTTTTTTAGTTTGTTTATTTTCTTATTCTTCTTCGTTTTGTTACTATAATTGTTGTATTTATTGTGGGTTTAGTTCATTCACTTTTAAATAAAGAATTCATAAATTTATTAGTTTAGTTTGCTATTTTTATATAAATAAATCGTAATTTTTGTTAATAAATAATAATACAAAAAATGGGTCAATTCTTTCGGTGAGCTTGTGCTTAATAAAAAAAAATAAAAATAATAATTCAGTTCCAGTGGGTATTAATCGTGAATCATTTGAAAGAAAAGGGTGCACACGAGTTTTAATAATAAGAGTACATACATTTTTAGAGAGATATAGGGAGAGTGAGAGAAAGATCTGGTGATAGTGCTAGAGAAAAAGGGAGAGAGTTTAGTAAACTACTAAGAGAAATGTGTGGAACAAAGTTCAATATGTATTTATTTATATAGTTGATATTGATTTTTATAGAGAAAACAGTGTTGACAATTTTGTTTTTTTAATTCTCTTTCAAATTTTAACATAAATAGGTTTGTTTTGTATTATCTGTAACTTTTTATGATTAACCATAAATTCCAATTATTTTTCTATTAGCTAAGTAAAGACCCTAAAAGCTTATCAACAGATTAGTGAATGATTTGACAAAAATGTTTAAGTATGTTTATGTGGACTGAACTTTAGCACGACTAATAATTAAATTGATTGTTAATTTATTAATATTAAGCGTTATTTGCTGGTGGTCGAGTTATTTTATCTTTATCGCCTTTTAAATACCTACAGCTGGTGTAAAGTGTGTAAGAAAACAGGTGGTAAACAAATTATAGATTTAAATAAATTAATAAAATATTTATGATCAATAATGTTTAAATAGTGACCAAAGAGAGTTTTATCAGTTATGAACGTATTTTTTTATAATTAAAAATAATTATAGAAAAATATTATCGGTCATGCTATATGGATATGGTACATCGATTTTTCATCCTGTTACCGATTCATAATTAATTTCAATATTCCGATCTGTAGTTTCACACGGACTGACAGACATTTGAATATGGTTTCATTGGCCATATAGTGATTATAACTATTGGTTTTGAATGTTGTGAACTTGTGTCCATATTCCGACCTGTAGTTTGTTTACAAGTTTTAGCTGAAAGGACGTACCGTCAAATGAACAAATGGATGGACAGACTGACATTGTTTCCCGGCTTAAATGTAAAATCAATATTTTTTGCATTAAAAAATCGCTACAGTGCTGTAGGGTATAAGTTTTGGTTCTAGCTGTTATTAACATCAGCAAAAATGTCCGGCCAAACAATGTTTCATATCATGGACAAACGGAGGGAAAATGCCTATATACATATGGCCGGAGCTTCGAAGTTTATTTTGAGCTATTCGACCGCTTTCAGAAGAGGCCGAAGATACTTACCGGCATTGATTTATTGGAGCACCGTCGCATCGTGCAGCAAATTTCACTGTTCTATCGATATGACAATAGATTTTGTACCTTTAAAATTAGGAAACTTGTTCTCGATCACGAACATACCCATTGGATTCGATTGGTCAGTGGAACGCTTAACCACATCAGGGAAAATTCAGTGCTGTAGGGTATAAGTTTTGATTCTAGCTGTTATTAACATCAGCAAAAATGCCCGGCCAAACAATGTTTCAAATCATGGACAAACGGAGGGAAAATGTTTCATCACAAAATGGCTATATACATATGGCCGGAGCTTCGAAGTTTATTTTGAGCTATTCGACCGCTTTCAGAACAGGGCGAAGGTACTTATCGGCATTGATTTACTGGAGCACCGTCGCATCGTGCAGCAAATTTCACTGTTCTATCGATATTACAATGGACTGTGTACCCCTAAAACTAGGAAACTTGTTCCCAATCATGAACATACTGATTGGTGTCGATTGGTCAGTGGAACGCTTAACACATATCAGGGAAAATTCATTCTTCAGCCGAGCTGTTCGTATGTGGAACGAACTCCATTCAGAAGTATTACCCGCCCCACTTTCGATGTAAAAAATTAAATCAAATATCCAGAAACACTACTCCCTCTATCCTACCTTCCACAACCTACTTTCCTAAGTATAAAACAATGCACTGCTTGAGTAGGGATCACCACGGGAGTGCTGGTCCAGAAAAGGAAAAAATTCAGATTGCAGAATTAAGGTAACGTTATTGAGGATGAGATGTCGGCTGCCAGTTGGGTGGTACAGGGATCATAATGTGGTAGACTCTCTGAGCTACTAAGTGCACGATATTCGGTGACAATAAGTAATCCAACCTGCACAATGTAAATATTAACATGGCTAACTGGACAGAGAGGGATGGACATAGTTGCATCACTCAGAAAGCGGTAGCACAGGGTATACAGAGGCGTCACGAGCAAAAAACTATTTCCCTCTCTTTCGCACAAAACGAATTCAATAATTTTTTTAGCTGTATTTTATATACCTCTTCTCACCAAACAATTTCAAAATCAAACAAAAGCTGATTTTAGACTTTTTTAAATGTCAAAAGTGACACCTCTGTATACTTTGTGCCGGTAGTCAGCAGTCGGGAACATTGTTTCAGTATTTTATAGAAATCAACACAAACTTAAAATCCCCCATTGTTACTGTAGGGTATAAAAACTAGAGAAAAAAGTTTGCATGTTATTTATTTACTATTGATTATAATAAAATGTGTGGAAGTCTAGCTTACACAAAATAAAAACTATAAGTTTTTAAATGACAATAATATATTATTTATTTTAGTTATTTTGTTTAATAATTTCATAGTAAAACTATACAGACATGCTATTTTTAATTAAGTGAACTTTGATTTTATTTATAGAATAAATAAAAATAATTTAGTTGATAATTCATGCGATTGTTATAAAAAAACACTACTAATAAATAAGTTTAATAAAAAAATTATTAATCTGGCTGCAAAACCTAATAAGTGAGTAAAATTTTAAAATTTCTTGTTCAAAT